ATGAACAATTTTATTATTTAATTAATTAATTAATTAGTTAATTAATTAATGTATTAAATGAAACTACTTTCTTGTTTCTTCGCTTAGCAAGATATTTCCTTTTATAACTGATCATATTTGCGAACCGGATAGCTACTTGTTGGGAAAAACTGGTTTGCTTGTTCAATATATAACTGAAGTGACGGATTTACTTCTTAGTGTTTATTTGTAATAAATATATCAGTTAGCTTAAGTGAAATTTCAAAATCAATTAGGAGAAGAGAATTTGAAATTTCAATTCAATATGTGTTAAATAACAAATAGAACTAACCAATTAATTTCACTTTCATATGCTTTTATTGAAGACATCTTTAGGTAAATTCGTTTTACCTATGGTCTAGTGAGGATTACTTGCGATTTAGTATCTAGAACGAATTATTTGCGATACAGTATCTAGAGTAAATCACTTACAATCTATTATCTGAAACGAACCATTTACGATCTAGTATCTAGAGCAAATCACTTACGATCTAGTATCTGAAACAAACCATTTACGATCTAGTATCTAGAGCAAATCACTTACGACCTAGTATCTAGAGTAAATCACTTGCGATTTAGTATCCAAAGAGAATCACCTACAATTTAATATCTAAAGCGAAACATTGATATGATGTAGTATCTAGAAGGGATTACTGTTTAAACTTAGTAGCCATTCTCAGTTGGAATTTTTGAAATTGTGGAATTATCAAATTTCGAACCATCATTAATACATCTTAAATTAGTTAAATAAACAACGTGCAGATATTTGTTTTAATTTTTAGTGAAATGTTTTAAAAAAAAAAAAAACGAAAATTGCAGAAAGTCCTATTAATCAAGTAGAAGTATTACCAACACATGTCGTAAAATGGGTTTGGGCTGTATACATCTCATTATGTATTCCGGAATTGCAATGTTTCATCGGTTCCATTCATCGAGCTTTCTTCCGGAATGTCAAAAAACCAACATTTGCACAGTTTATTACTGTAAGGATATATTTTCAAATTTAATTTTTAATAGAGAAGAAAGAAAAAATATTTGTTAGCAAAGTTTGGTGGTTGAAAAATTAATCATTTGTTTCTTTCATCGATAAATTTCATTAATATCACTTATCATTTAATCTTGAATAAAGATATCACTCCTTATTCAAACTTTTACATCATATAATCTACACCACTTGCATGTTATCATTCATTTATCAATTTCATTTACATTTTATCATTTGCAGGTTTTTGTCGTAGAAACTTTAAATGCTATTGGTGTTGGTATATTAGTATTTAAAATATTGCCTAATTTGGATGCCATTACTGGTCAGTTTGTTTCAATAATATTTTATTATCATTTAAATTTTATTATCAGTAAATATTTTAAATTTAATTTATTTTTCGTTTATCTGACAAATAATGTATTAGAAAAATTTGCTGTGCAAATAAGGCTATTTTATGGTATTATTAGTAAAAATTAAGCTATTAATTGCTTATAGGAGCAATGCTTACTAATTTTGCATGTTTTATGCCAAGCATTTTGTTGTTATTAAGTCGTCGACCAAATCGTTTGGCTATATTATTTATGGGCGCTGATATTCTTTGCATTATTGTACAAATTGTCGCATTATGGGCGCTTTCGGTAGCAATTGTTATTTTTGATTTGTTATGAAAAAAGATGCAATTTAAATTTTGAAGTTATAAAATTGCAAAATTCAATTTTTAATTAAGTCAAAACTTTGTGTTAATTTGCCAAATATTTACTACTAATAATATTATGATCATAATTATTTAATACAATGCTAAAAATACTATTGTAATTATCATTTCTTTATCAGTTGATATTTTTTTTTTGCTTGATAATTTATATGATAGTAAATGTTGATAAAATAAGCGTCAATTAATTCAAATATATTTAATTCTTATGAAGAAATGAATGAAATAAAAATGAAAGAGGAAATTTTTTAGGAAAGTGATAAGAAGAAAAAAAAACAGGAATATTTTTTGATCTTTGAATCTCAATTTTGAAAATTACAATTATGCAAATTCAACAATTTCCTCTTTATATTCAAATAAAATTGACATGTCACCTGATTTTATAAAAAAAATGAGCGGATCGTTTTAGTTGTTTTATTCATATCAAAACATTGCATATAATACTTTACTGTCATCTCTCCTTAAATAACCTTTTTTTCTCCTTCGTATGATTGATTTGAATAAATTCATATCATCAAGTGATAAGTTATCTAATTATCATTTATACTTTTGAGATTATTGCCCATTTTAATATTAACATTATTTTAATTCTAATATTATTTTACCAAATTTTATCAAACATCACAAAATGATATGTAATTGATATCATTATCATTCATTTCGTCGTTTTTTTTCTTTTTCCATTATTGCAAATAATAATAAAAGAATACAATCTGTTTAAAATTAAAGAAAAAATTATTAAAATTGATTGATTGAATTTGAATAATCATTTAATTTTGCAGGATTTAAATGTATTACTTGAAAAATTTAAATTTATTCTTCCATTATGTTTAATATTAATATCACTTGGTTGGTGGCAAAATTTCGTTCATATTGAAAGTGCCTTGTCACCAATTCGAGCACTAGCACGATTTGCTGTGACATTGAATGAACGACGATCAAAAATTTACATTCTAATCTCGATTTGGAAATGTATCGTCTATTTACTTATGGTATTACTGGTACTTAACAATAAGTAAGTTCTGTTGTATTTTATATTTATAATTCAATTTATCAATTCATCGATTAATTAGGATATCTTTTCGTTGACATTATAATCTAATTAATTTCAAATGTAATCTGATCAATTTTTTATTTTTTAGCATAAATAAAATTTGGAATTAGAAATTGATAAGTAATTAGTTTCAAATTAAAAATGATCTTGTCTATTTTATATGATTAATTATATTTCATGTATTATACTTCATCAATTAAATTCATAATTTTAATAGTTAAATTTTCCGTTTAATCTATATTCACTTAATTAAGTTAATGATACTTTGATGATTATATATGATATATATATATATATATATATACTTTAATAGTTTACATAAAATTAAACTTCAATGCCATCCCTTTTCTCTCCCTTTCTCTCTCTCCTTCTTTCTTCTTCTCTCTCTCTCTTTGACCTCTTCTATCCATTTAATTTTATACGAAAATTTTACAAAATTTCAGTATCACATCAAAAGATCTCTTTGAAAATGATCCATTTGGTGAGAAATTACTTACAATAACTGCCCGACATTTAAATCAAACTCAAATTAACAAATTTTATGATCGAATGGAATTGGAATTGGCTAAGAATGGTTGGTTGATGTCGTAAAATTAGCATTTCTACGATAGTATTTGCATTTGATTATTCCGAAATACCTGAAATTGAAGTATGAAGCAAAAAGTTGTCAGTATTGAGATGATCTCAATCCCGAATTGTCACATATCAATTCAGAAATTGTGATGATCTCAATCCCGAATTATCACATCAGAAATTTGTTTAAGCTCATAAATAAATAGATCGTAGATATTAGAGTAGAAAATTTTGATATGAAAGCTTATGTATAATGTGATAAATCTTTTTTTTTTTTGAACTATAATATGTTCCAAATTTTAATCGATATTATTATCGTTTATCATTGAATTTCTCTTATCATCTTATCAATTAAAGACATTAGAGCAATTAAATCAACAAATTTAATTAAATATTTTATTCTTTAGAGAAGAATGGTGAAGTCCCAACAAAAAATGCTTTAAAATTCATGGGAATGCAAATGACAAAACCATCTTTTGTACTGAAAAATCATGGTAATCGTAATCTAATCAATCAATGGAACAATCATAATTCCCGATCCTTTCCGGATCAAAGCCAATCAATACATCAATCAACTGTCGTGTCACCAGCAACACAATTCTTCCCACCACAAAGAATTAGCAAACATGATGATCATAATGTGACATCTTATTCATTAACAGTTAACAATTTTAAATCAAATGAATCACCTGAGAATCCTATAAAAGAAGAATCTGAAAAGCTTTCTAAAAATCGAAAGAAGCGAACAATCGATGATGACGAATATGAAATACCACCAAATACTTATAATGTATGGATAATAATTTGAACATTTTAAAATATATTTTGACATTATTACAATTTGATACTAATTATTTGCTAATGTTTTAGATAAATTAAGTTTAATTATTTCTCTTCATCTTATAGATAAATTAAGCTAAATTGTATCAATGAATACATTCATAGAATATTTGTTTATCTAATGAAATCAATTATATGAAACTATTTTCATATAATTGATTAATTGATTAATTAATTGATTAAGTTTTTGATTAAGTTTTTTGATTAAGTTTAGTC